CCGACACCCCACGCGCACTTTCGTGCTACTATTTTTCAGTGTGAGCCATGGCGTGTGCAAGTTGCTGTTCGATCTTTTCCTCATTTGATGTATGATCAAGAAATGAAAAGACTTCAAAAATTATTAGAGGGGGGTCTCGTCAGATGAAGAGTCTATAGAAGAAGAATTAGAAGATTCAGATAATGAAGATATATTTAGGGATCATAAGTCTGAATCAGAAGAACAGTGCGGCTCTTCAGAAGAGCTATTTTATAGGAAAGGAAAAGAATTAGCTCCGATAATAGATTTATTTCAAAATTTTGTCAAGAATGAACAGAAATTATATCATGTAGGGAAATACGTGACTTTGAACAAAAAGCTAGAACTATTTCGAGGATGATGGTCCTTTCGGCAGTATATACTAAGAAACCTGCAAGATATGGTATAAAGATATTTGCTATGGTTGATTCTAGAACCTTCTAGAATCAACCATAGCAAATATGCTTTCAACATGGAAATTTACGGATGTCAGCTGCCAGATGGACCGTACAAGAAAGTCATCAGTTCTAGTGAAATAGCAAAGCGCATCCTAGCTGCATTATACAAATCTGGAAGAAACTTTATTACAGACACTTGGTATATCAGTTATGAATTGGTCAATTTCTTACAGAAAATGATTTGATGAACCACAAAAAAAGAAAAAAATATATAATACAGTAGATGTTACATGTACTCAAGAGAAAAAGACAGAAAATCAAAAACTATATGTGGGAAGTGTAAAAAAACATGTGTCAAGAGCACTGTGAAATGGATGCTTCATGTATTATATTGCAAAATATTCTAATGCTTCTTGGGCCTAATTGATTTCAATATTAACTATATAACTCGTTGTTCATGTAATAATTCTGCATAATTTGGATTATAATTGCATTCACAAATAAAAAACAAACATTTTTCATAGAAATCAATGATTCCTAGACATCTGAAAAAAAATTATATATTTGTTATTAATTTTAAAATTAGAATTATTTTAAATAATAAATGTTACAATTAATATATAATGCATTTTTTTACTGAATTATAATAATATGTTTAATTTGTACGTCATTTAATTGCTTAGGGAGTGCTGACAACCCATGCACGTTCTCGTGTTTACATATAATACATCGCGCGTCTTCCCGGGTTAACACCTATTAGAGACAGACACTACAAATTTCTCTTTCAGATCTTTTGACTGGAAATTATATCATACTTATCCATTCTTATGCTGAGTGATATATTTTGAAGGTCATACTAATTAAATGTCAGATTCGAGAACAAAAGTAACTAGGTTTCCAGGCTTGAGGTAGGTAAATTCTTTAACTTTAGGGAATTATATCAGATATATGTGATTACATTCTTGTGTGTTGAAGGCTCTTTATCTTCACTATAGTGGCTTTCACCATCTGATAGTGTCATAAGATAACAGGTCTTCATCTGTTATTTCTCGGTCGTCATTCTCGACTAATTCTTCGATTTCACCTTCTTCCATACTTAAAAATACTTTAGCATCTATTGCTTTTGCAATTGTACGATTTTTTCGGCTGCATTTTCCATTAATGGGAATCTTATAAAATTATTGGATACTTCTGGGTAGAGCTGATGCCATTAAACTTTCATTGTTGATGAATTCGTTTGCTCCCATGGGAGTTTATTCATTTCCATGCAGTGCCTTATATTCAGTTGCTTCCCCAATGCCAATCGTGCTTTTCTTCGCTAGTACTACATTTGCAGAGATATAAACATGCCAGGCACAATAGGCTTTGAATGTTTTTTGACTTCTTAATCCATTGTTTAGATTAGGGAAGTGATGTTTGGTGGAAGGAATAAAACTTCTACGTTTGGATGCATTATTATTTAGGCTCCATCACTGTGTGATGTAATATTATCGAGAATTCCAGTTTTGCTAGTTTAAGCTGGTTCTGCTGGTTTTATAGCTGGGCTGGTTTAAGCTGGTTCTCTTGGCTTCAAAGCTCAGGTTTTGCTGGTTTAAACAATTTAAACAATGCGCGAACTCTCTGCAGTGCAGCACATATAATTTAAATTACTCGTTGGGCAAATTAAATGGAGAAAATTAAGGAAACGCGTATACGCCGCAAAATCGCATTCCGCAAGTCCGCGTTCGGCAACGGTTTAATGTATTAAGAGTTAATTATCTTCACTTAAAGATCAAAACGCAGAATTGAATCATATCTTTGCAGACCAGTACATCAGAAGCCTTAATTGAAAATAACATAGCAAAAATACAAAAATCATCCAAAAAAAAAAAAAAAAAAAAAAGAAGATATAATTCAGAATCTAGTTTTCATAAACACATTTCCCGGTTAATAGAATCCATTTTATCCATCGATAAAGAATTTTTTCCTCTCTTCTAAGACTGATTCTAAGATTGATGTTAGAAACATGGTCATTGCGTAATTCTTATGATTACTTTTTCTGGTTGTTCCATTTAAATGCGATTGTTCTTCTGGACGTTCTTATCAAATTAATCTTAAAATCTATTTTCAAAAGTTCTTACATGATTAAAAATTTTGTACTCTCTCTCTATATATATCTAATACACATAACTGGAAGCAGCGAGAAGCGACCAAAGTCGCTCTTTGCTCTCTCAACAGCTGTTTCTCTCTCTTTCTTCACCTTTCACTCAGTAAAAATATAATACACCGGAAATTTTCCTCGTGGTTAAAAATGATGCCCAAGAAATTGAAATCTGAAATTTGTTCTCATACATATAAATTACAATGAGCTACGAATTCTGTTTTTATGATCGCTTGAAGTGAAAAGAGTAACTGCTTCTGCTCATTACTTAGACAGTAACGCTCTCTATATATTTTATACATTTATGTACAATATTATTAATATTATATAGATGATTCTTTATTAAAATGCTGTTTTCTAAAAGATAAAACTTGTTTCCTGATATTAGTAGCTTGATCAAACAACAATAAACGTTATGCTGCTTAATAATATTTTAATTAGTCAAGTGTTTGAAGTCATTGGTCAAAGCATTGAAGCATTGAAGTTATTGAAATTTTACGAGAAAGTTGTAGAAAGAGAAAATGAACCCAATTCAGCATTGTAAAAGAAAGTGTTTACATATAAAATAGTTTAATTTCGTGATTTAAAAAATTAAATTTTTGCTTCTCCTCATTCAAGCTAATGTTGTAAAGTAATTTTTTTTCTCAATTACAGTTGCGTCGTTTGAAAGCGTTCACTAAATTTCATAACATTTTGCATAACGTTATTATTTTCGTTTAATTTATATATTGCAATATATCGAAAGAATAATAATTAAGCATTATGAATATATTAAATAATGCCGAGAGTAATTTCTGTTGCTTACGTGCTTTAAAAGTACACCTTCATTGCATAAATGGACATTTCGTTAGTTTTTTCTTATTCCCAAACCAAAGTTGTATTAAAGGGCATTGTGTTACATCATTATAAAAGAAAATGTTAATAAATACATAGCATAGATTCAGTAACAAAATGTTATGAAAAATGAATTGACTGAAAGAGAGTTAAGAAAAGAAAACTTTAATAAACTGACAACAGTACTTCGTCTATAATAAAACTGTTTAATTATATTGCAGTTAACAAAACTGAAATTTGTTAAGCAGATATTAATTATATACAGAGGGTGCTTACACATATTCGGGGCCATTTAATTAATTTTTAAAATGTAAACCGTATGTTTTTAAATGTTTGATCTGATAGCACTTTTCCTGAGCTATACATCTGCATCGCGATTTTCATGATAGAAGGGCTTTCCATAAATTTCCAGGGTTATTGATTTCTCTTCCTCCACTATTTTCCAGAGTCCATTAGTTGTGGGTTTACAGTCAGAAAGAGTTATTTTGAAGAGACTAAAGGCACAATAATATAGAAATATAATATAGGTGAAACATCAGGATATTTCGTAGGAATACGTTGATAAAGTGTATATGCAATACCTGTATCACTCTTCATTTTTTTAAGGGAATGCAGTGGTATTTTTCGGAGCTTTGTCTTGATGAAGGTTCACGTTTTGAAAGTAGTTGGGATAATGAAATGAAATTACTTCTGTAAATAGCGGAAGTGAAACTTTCTCTTGATAGTACATTGAAATGATTTTAACATTTTTTTCTAATTCTTTCTATTTTCAGTTTTCCATTGTAAGGGAACCCTGCAAAAATCATAAACCCTATTACTACAGATACGTTTTTTGATTTGATGGTAACAGGTTTGTACATTTTCCTCTCTTCGTGTCCGATAAATAGATTTTATTTTGTTTATCTTTTGTTATTTATCTCCTGCTAAATAATAGTTCTACAAATTATTCTCCGTTGGGCCACATGCGTCGATAAATTTGGTAGGCATTATTGTTTTTAGCTTTTTTAAATTGCAAATCTTGGTTTATTATTTTATTAATTTTTGCTAAAGATATATTTTAAAACTTTGCAATTCATTTCTGCCTCAGAGAATTTTCTCTTGTTACCAACAATTAAATTAACAACATTAGAAGTAGCATGTACCTTTTAACGGGTATTCGTTTGGTCTTCTTGCATGTAGAAGAATTGTTTCATGTTTAGAGTCATGTAAAAGTAACGAATGACGGTTTTCCCCTTCCCTATAAATAATGATGCTTATTTTGCACTTCGAAAAATTTTAATGCCATGCTTTTCAAAACGTTTTTAAATAACGTAATAGGAATATTTTTCTTCGGAAAGCGCAAAAATATATTCTTAATATTCTATCCACAGCTTGTTTACGTTCGACATTTTGAAAGGAGAATTAATTTAAAAGAAGCAGACTTTTTCATTTTAATAATAAGCTTCGGCCAGAAAATTTTATTCTCAAACATTTGGTTTAAAAAAATTCTTTATTGAAATCATTCCAAAAATGTGTAAGCATCCTTTGTAGAAGATGATTTCTATACGTTTGTGGTCAGCTGAATCTTTCTTAATTCGTTTTACATTCATAAACAACAAAAAAGAAAATACCTTTAGCGGGAAGTCCAATAACAGGAATTCCAACACCAGGCTTCACTCGAGGACGAGGAAGACGCGCTGGCTTTAAAGCTATTAACTTTTGCACTGAAAAGAAAGAACCACATTGTCACATGCAAAAAATGTTATTTTAGAAAAGCATCTAAACGCTAAGCCATATTGCAAAAAACATTATTTGAAACAGACATATATGTGTAGTAAGGAATATTCAAAAACCATTGCACTGATAAATATCTCTTAAGCGCTTGATTTGAAGGTCCGTTGTACCACTGTAAAGAGTCAAGTAAGGTAAACATACAGACTGTAAAGACATTAGGTATTTTTGGAAGCAGGCAAGATGAAAAATGAGCGGTCGCCTTCGTCGAGAATCGAGCCACGGACCTCTCGAATACTGGCCCAGCGTGCAGAACCACTACACCACGAAACCACGCTAGGAAGGTAGAAGAAATACCTTATATACTCCCCCTTTTAAAGGGCGACTGGGGTTTTTAGGGGAACCAATCGCCATATCCTGGGTGAGGAGAATCGTCATCCAACAACCTTTTTTTAGTTTGAGCGCCACTGTAGAAACATTAGGTATTTTTTGGAAGCAGGGAAGATTAAAAATTAGCAAGAGCTTTCGCCGGGAATCAAACCACAGACCTCTGTAATACCGGCTCAGCGTGCAGAACCACTATATTACGAAGGCACGCTAGGAAGGAGGGAGAAATACCTTATAAGACTATAAAGAATAAAACTTAAAAACTTTTAATAATGTATATATATATATATATATATATATATATATATGTATGTATGTATGTATGTATATGGATAAAATCATTTCTAATAATAAATTATATATATAGTATAAAATTTATTATTAGAAAAGTTTTTTATATCATCTCCAAAGAACATAAATTTAATTAATGCAATGAATTATTGGAATAAATTTGATTCATTATAAGTAATTTCTATTGTAATAAAAATATTCTAAAAAGCTGTATAGAAATATTATTTTAAACTTAAAAATTCTAAAACTAAAACTAAAACGTAAAATTTAAAGTACTAAAAAGGTAGACATTGTTGTTGAGCGCAGATTAATTAATTGTCAAGGAGAATAATAGAATCCACTATCAAATAACATAAACCAAATTAAGTGAGAATGTTTCGTCTTTTTTCCAAGTACAGATTAAATTAGTTATTTTACCAGTTAAATCATAAACTACGAACAAATCTTAAAAAAGAGAAGGAAAATTATTTTTCTTGAACTGAAATACTTGTCATAAACAAATCCGAAAAAATGAGTAAGATTTTATTTAAGGAACTGAATTAAGAACTCTTATCACTTAATTAAATCACTTAATCACTTAATTAAGTGTGAATTAAGTGATTTTATGATATGTATATATGAATTAAATATACTGAATATATGAATCATATACATATGAATTAAGTGATATATATATATATATATATATATATATTATATATATGTCGTTAGATATAAGAAAATACGATAGCTACTTTAAAAATAATTAGCGACCTCAAAATTAACGATTCTAAATTTGGTGCTCTTCCCCTAAATTCATCTGTTCTCCCAAATTCGAGATCCTTGTATGTTACCTAACAACCTCAAATTAACCAAACATAGCTTGTCTCTACAATTAAATCAGACTTAGTATAAATACTCTTGGCACAATAAACTTCCATTCCTTTCCTTAGCTTCCGCGACGCCAAACATCCACTCTGCTTTGATTCCTCGTCCCAAAAGCCTATGTTGTTTCTTTAAAAAACCAATATACATATAAATTTATCATATTTAATTATGATTGAGTAATGGAAATTTATCGTATTTCATTATGACTGGATAAATATCTACTAAGATGATTTTATATGCGTGGAAATAAAGACTGAAAATTCTGCAAGCTCAAATGCGCTAACTACATCACCATAGTTTTTACCTTCAGCCATTACTGTCTGCTCAGCCAGTGACTGTTATCGAAAGCTGTTAAGAGTTCCAGTGTTTCCTTCTACGTATTAAATTAATAATATATATATATATATATATATATCAAAGATTGAATAAAAGTAAATAGATTAATAAATCGTAATAAATTGCCTAATACTTGCGCAAAAGATCTCTTTTTATATATAAGTGTGTGTGTATTTACTTATATACATATGTAACTCTAACTAACATACAAGTTTTGTAGAAAATATGTCAGTGTTTTTCGTTATTCCTATTAATTATTAATAAAATATGTTAGAGGGAAATTACTGCAAAATGCATTGATTAAAATTTGTAGGGACGTATAACAAATATCGTGTACGACAACTATGCCATTCAAATTTACAAAATATACCTTTTTGTGGAAGGAAATAATATGAACCTAAGTTTTCTATTTTCATTCAGAGATTCTATTTTCTATTTTCATTTCTATTTCATTCACAGGTGTTTTTTTCACGCCATTTTGAAAAATTTGATTTATTTACTTACTGATTCCTTGAAAAAGAAGACCTTAGGCAGCTAAATGTAACCAGAATTCCTCTGTGTCCTTCTAATCAATTAATATGAATGGAATCTTGCGTTTAACCAAATAAAAACCCTCACAATTATCACAGAGGAAGCTAAATATTTAAATATTTATAGCAACTGATTATAAGTGGATGATTACTGTCTTACTAACCAGATGCGAAATTAGAAATAAAGTCATTAATAAAATTCAATTTTTAAAAATCATTTATGAAATGTAAATTTCTTAGTATCAAAACAGTTCTCAGTGCTGAGTATCTGTTTGAAAGAACTTCAACTGAAACATTGTCTAAACAGGAATAATATAATAATAGTAACAACAGCAATAAATAAAAGTAAAAATAATGAGATGAATGTCACAAGTTTGCTTCTGAGAACTGAAAGATTATCATGTATTTAAAAAATAGAAACATTTAAATACATTTCCCTCAAATCTGTGATAAATTGCTAAAATTCAACATTAGAACATTTCACATTCTTAAAGAAAAGTCCTCGATTAGAATGCACAATAATTTATTTAGAAAATATTCAGATGCGAAAGTGTCCCATTGAATGGTAATTATTTCAATTGGAAATGGTCTGCTTGAATGAGTTATTTCCATACTCCCAAGTCAACTACCGAGGGAAACTACTAAACATAAACACTATTACAGCTTGTTTGCGGATGGTTTTATGTAAATAGGCTCTGTGTACTTTTCTAGGATTCTGAATATTCCATCTTTCAGATCCTCACTCTGTATTTTCCTGCTTCCTTTATCATTAATAGTATTTAGTCGTTATTCTATGAACGAAGTTATGTTTTAAATAAACATAAGGCAAGGCATTACTATGAAACATCTACATTTTTGACTTCCTGTTCTTGCTTTATTACCGTATTTTCTCGCGTACTTTTGCCCCTAGCATTTTAGAGCCAGGTTTTGAAAATTAAAAAAATATTCGCCTAAATTCCACATTCCTGAATGCGTTTAGACAAAGAACTCCCCTAAATTAAAAAAAATGGATTCGTCCAAGTAGTGATTGTTTTCGTCTTATTAACACGGATAAATCCTCGCAAATTTCCTGCGAAGAACATGTGGAACATTTTCCCTCTAACTGCTGAACATTTTTCAAACCTAATACAGGAACCACAACAAAGAAGCAGACTGAGACTAACATTTAATCCATGAAAAATTTCGCTGAATCAGCTGCACATCACCTTCTATAAATATTTATGGATGATTTGAAGTCTAAGCTGTAGCACAGACAACAATAAGAATGGACAAGTTACAGGGATATAAAAAAGTTACAGGGAAGTAGAAATGACGATATTGTATTAGATATTGTAATGCGAATATTGCTATGTATACTTATTAGAACGCAGGTTCCTTTTAAATAAATAATATTGTGATAGTTAACTGAAGTTGATCCATGACTGCTTTCCATTTCTTATATTCTTACTGTAACCGCGTTCTATAGAAAATAAATTATTTGCATAATTTTTTTCTCTTGATTTTCGGACGATAAAATTAATAAAAAAAGAGGAAAAAATACGCAATCAAATATGGTATTAATTTGAAATTTTGTTACTTAACTTACACAGTTACAGTTTTGAACTCATAATAAACTGTCCAAAACCTAATCATAAGCTGCTTCCTTAGTGGCAGGGCAAATTAACACAAATAAATAGAGATATATTTAAATCATAAAAGATTTTGCAACTATTTAATTTAAATCTTAAAGACGGTAAAAAATAAATAAAAATCTAGGTCTATATATATGACCTACCCAGTGTAAGAGTTTTAATATATTATTTCTATTTTTCCATACTTTTCTTTTCTGTTAAATATACAATATATACTTTTTACATCAAATTTTGTGTAATTTCGGATCTTTTCCTTATTCCCGAAGGCATATGCTGTTGGAACACTTGAAATCATCTCAGAGTAACATTTACTTGTATAAATACTTTTCAGTGGGTACTTTAAATGCAAAAATAGTCGAATTAGCGTTTCTATTACAAGCTGCGTCTTTTAAAACAGTCTTGGTTGAGTAAGCAAACCACACAAGAGCTATGGGTCTAAGATAATGGATATCTTTCTGGAGGACGTTCTAAGAGAAACTAGCTCATATTTACATTACTCATACAGAAAGCCCCGAAAACAAACCATGCAGTCAGCACGCTCGCCTGTGATCAAACCTGAGACGAACTCCTAGTATTTAGTAGTCATACTCGGTTACTAGCGGACATCTCCTCCCTCCCAGCAATTTTAACAATCAAGAAACAGAAAATTGCGGAAATAGAAATCGACGTCTGAGGGAGTTTCGATGTACCAATAAACATAAGCCTGACTGTTGGTCCTGCCAGCTTTTTTTTGCGATACCAAAGGCAGAACAAAAAAAGGAACATTCATTAACGCTTTAAATTTTCTGAATTTTATTTTCATCGAAAATCGCAAAGCTGTTGTCCTCGCTCTATCGCGCTCTTTCCTTTAAAAAAAATTACACCTTGCTGACGACATACAGAACTTCCTCATTTTTACTAAAACATTTCCTTTTTATGACTCAACTTTTGCAAGCGTAAATAATGAATCATGCATTCTTGCACCATGTTTCCCATTTGTTGGTATCTTAGCTCATATCGTGAATGGATGTAATGTAGTTGCGTGTAATCAAAACATTCGGCAGTAATGTAAACAGATTTTGAATTGTGTTAGCAACAGCAAATCCTGATGACAGATACACAAAATAATGGCGGTAGATTCAGAATTTACCCGATTATGTTTAATTGCTGAACTTCAGAATATACTACAAAAGATATATACTCTACATTACCTTCACGTACTTCTTGTCATGAACACTGACCAAGTTTTGTCCCCAAGCAATTATACAGCCGAAAGCTACATTTAGCAATCCATCTTATTTCCTTATATCTGTTTGAGCTGTATAGTGAAAACGTTGCTAATGATTATCACCGAGATTGTAAAAAGGGCATAGTTTAGAGGTAGAGGTTCAGCGGAAATCAAGACACTTGCTTCTTGAACATGCATAGATACTTGTTCCTCAACATGCAAGATGCTTGTCTGCAAGTTCATTTTTTTTAAGTTTATTGTATTACATTTGTTTTATCAAATCCATTAGGTTTACTAAAATAATTTTCTGGAGTTTCAAGCAAGGCTGATAAGAACTTTGTTTCTTATTTTTTAAGATATAATTTAACTGAATTTGTGTAGGAAATGTTTACTCATAGAGAAAGCCCCGAAAATAATTATCATTCATTTTCCTTATCATTCAGAAGGAAAAAGAAATGTATTTAAACTCTGTTTGCTGCGGTTTTATAAGGAATCATAAAGATGTAAATAAATAAAGAGTATGTCGCGAGGTTGAAAAAACTAGCTCGATATATGCGATATATATATGCGAGAAGTTAATTTGATTATTTATTGAACTTTTAAATGATATTAAACTTCACACTGAAAATATGTGTTTAATATTAGGAAAATTTCCAATACTTTGTTTAAATAAGAAAAAATACCGGAGACACATGAATGTTTCAAAATGTCAGATTATAGTTTGTATCTGTAAAAGAACTGTTCTAGTGCTTCTTTGTACAGCAAATATTCTATGAGCACTAGTTCATGTCACTAGCAAGACAAATGTTCATTCTACAGGAAATGTAAGCTACATAAAATAAAAGTCTAAACAACTACAATGGAAGTGTGAACTACGTACAAAATATTCAACCACAATAGAAGCAGCTAAGTACAATACATATTGAATTCAGTTTCTAATGATTTTATAATTGAATACCATGAAAATATAGAAGCGTAATAATTTATTATCCAAAAAAACATTGCAAAATTGACTATGTATGACATATAACAGAAATGTACGATACATAAATTCTGTATGCATAAGTCCTGTTTTCAATTTTACGTAAAGTTAGCACAAAAAATGTGAATTTAATATTAAACATTGCATTGCAAACTCACTAATTGTATAGGTCACAAAATTCAACATTGTGAACGATATGCGTGAATGAAGTGTGAATAATATGCAAAGCCATGGTCTTTTGCCTATTATTAACACAAATTGAAGAGGTTCATTATAGCTATAAACTGAAAAAGGTATGTAATATTTCAAACCCATTTTTTACATTGAATTGATGGGGAAAATGTTGTATAGCAAACCAAAACGTCAAATGAAATTGTACTTTAGAGAAATTTCCAGCATTTAGATTTTGAGTTTGTCTTTTGTTCTACTGAATGTTTCTGATAATGATTTCTAAGACCAAAGGCACAAAATAAATATCATAAAAAATAAATATCACAAAAAGTTGTGAAACTTACTTTCGGCTGGAGTACATGCTAAGATTTCAACTTGCATGCTAATCCATTTTTGCCATTCTGTGGGCATTATTCTCAGGTATTTGGTAATAAGGACTATTGGGAGCATATTTGTCACCGTTGTATACTGATCTGTATTAGCAAGAAATACCTAAAATAAACGCATTTCACAAATTAGAGCTCTCATTTAACTTTATAAGGACAGGTATTTTGAAAGAGTTTGGCAGCCAGAACAGCTTTCACATAGAATCGCACAATCACTTGACCAAAACACTATAAGAACATCGAAATAAAAAGTAGTATAAAAATATACTTGATGTGCTTTAGGCTTACATCAGTTTTGTGAATTTTTAATATTTCAAAAGACAGTTACCACGGTATACGTTATTAATCGCTTCCAGATCTTTTGACGTATACCAAATGAATTTTTCTAATAAGTTAAGGAAAAATATTAATTTATTCTTAGGAAAAAGTATTTTTTTTTATTATAAACCGTTTAATAATAAAATACAAATGCAGTAGAAGAAAAGTATACCGTACATCATACTTTACATAAATGTTCTTATGCTCTCCAGATCAAAAGCAGTTTTGCAACGTGCTCTAATCTTTGGTAATAGGTTTCATCCTCTTAGAGGAACGTTATGTAGTTTAACAGCGTCTTTGTTTTTCACAGTCTTAGACACCGTCATACTTGACATATAGTATGCAATAAGGTAGTTCTGTATACACATGTCATTTTTATACTTTTCAGCAATTTCCTTTTTCATCTCTATGGTGATCCTAACCATTTTCTTTGTTGCTTAACTTCATTAACTCTCCTATAACTCATTGCTAATAAAGTTACAAAAAAACAAACGTAAGCAGAAAGACACAAAATCACTTAAAAATTCAAAATTACATAGATCACGTAGTTCTGATTCATTGAGTTCGAGTCTTATTCCAAACAAATATCGTATAGCAAACAAAAATATTTTGCTTCCAAACATGATGTATACCAAGTTTGGGATATTTAAAAGCAGGCATATACTGGCACGACTGTAATTCCTGATTAATTAAAAACATTCCTGCCTAAAGAAATGATTTAAGCATGCGATCAGAGAATTAATTTATGCCTTTTAAATGTATTACAATTGTATTAATTTCATATGTGTATGGTTTACAGTGTTCAAATAACTGCTACATCACCAGCTTAACGTTAAAGGGATTAAGAATTATCAAGTATAATATTTTCTAATAATATAGAAAATTATTAATTTTTGCACATCGAGTAGATTGAATTTGAAAGATCTTACAAGAAACATCTTATATTCTGCCGAATGGAATAGAATCGAATGAAAAATTGAAAGGATGCATTTTTGGTGATTCGACTCAGAATCTCATTTCGATACTACTAAACCTTTTCAAGCTAAAACAAAGTCTGAAAGGATTCAGGCAATAAAGGTCACTCAAAAAGGCTCTTTGAAAGTAAATACTGTTGACAGTATTAATGGTTTTTATCAGAATATTAACAGAGATGACCCAGGTGGAATAGAGAAACATTTTATAGCATACTAGATGAATATGCATTTAGACTAACATGAGAGAGTTAAACAGACTCGCTTGCTTCACTTCTGTTCCAAAAATAGCATTATAGTTTATTATGCTGCTGGATTCAACAGACGGTGATTTATGTATTATAAACAGTGTTATCAGTTTTACACTTTACAAGTAAAATAAGAACTAACAAATAATTCATCAACTCATGTTTTTTATAACGCAAAGATACACATACGGTCATTTTGACCGTGTATGAGTTTTATACGTTTTTACCTATTTTACTGTTTAATAAAACACATCGTAAGGCAATTAAAAAAAGTAAAGAAAATTTAAATTAAAAAACAAAGGTTATTAAACATGACTGATAAGAAATGTATTACAATTCTGAAACTTTTACAAAAGCAGAAAACGTGTTGCCAAATATTGACATATTATATACTGGTGTAATGTAAAGTTCACAAAATCCCTCAGTTCCAATCCACCGGTTTTGCCAATATCAGAACGTAAAAATGCCCATCGGTCAAACTGATCAATGTGTACTTATAGGGGTTAATTAATCTAAAAATAATAACTAAAAATTAATACTAAAATTAAACTATTCACGCAATTTTTAAATTCAATTTTAAATGTCTTACAAAAATATTTTTATAACTACGTTATTGATGAAATTTTATCTCTTACAGACAACTGTGATTCGACTATGTCTGTTTTATATTTTCATGTTAAACAACAATTTTTCATCTGTATTCTTAATTTCTTTAAAATGCTTTTTGGATCAGCAGCTTTCAGTTGAAGAATTTTTCTTAGAATTTCCAGTGCTTCTCTAAATTCAATTGTTGATGGTATGCCAGCATATTTTTTCTGTATCATTTTTTGCTGTCAGGTACTTTAATTCTTTTAACACTTTCATAGTCAGTTTGTTTCAATAACACACACAATATATTCTGAAAATAAATTTTCATACCTTCCTTCGCTGATGCCTGAAACATCAGTTTTGCAGATTCTCTGAAGATTTCTCTACATAAAAACTATATTTTTTTAAACAGTTTTAACTGATTTTAAGAGATTAATCCCCTACATTGACAAAAATATGCGGAGCCTCTAGCAGAGATATTGGACTTATTTATCTCACTCCGTAGAGACATTAGGTATTTTGGAAGCAGGCAAGATTAAAACTAGAGAGATTGGGATAATTAGAAGAGCCGGAGAGATGAAAAATTAGCAACCGCCTTCGCCGGGAATCGAACCACGGACCTCTGGAATATCGGCCCAGCGTCCAGAACCACTACGCCATGAAGGTACTCCAGGAAAGCGAGAGAAAAACCTTATAATTCAAACTGCTTGCATTTTCACAAAATTCAATTCACCATTTACTGAACATACCTCTATAACGACATTTGAAACTTTTATAATACAAAATTAAATATTGCATGTTAAAAGTTGTATTTGCAGAAAGAAACACTAATGTTTTTCAGAGAGAGATCAGATGTGTGTGTGCGCTGCACAGTTATCTAATTAGTATTTTCCAGTTCACTGTTAAATTTAGAAAGAAAATAAATAAAAATGCTATTTTTTATCTATACTTTCTTGTTACTACGGTAAGTTAAAAATAAATTCTTCACTCCCTTAAAACATTGGATTTCTGAGTTGTTAATAACCAGGGCTGGCTTCTTAATTGTTGGATTCCAGGTCAAAAACACAGTAACTTATTCCTTCAATTTCTTAAACCAACTTCTAGTTCGCTTTTAAATATTAACGCATGTTCTGGTAATGTTCTCTAAGGCAATGTAGTTTTGTTTTTATTGTGAATTTCAAATGGCTTGTATTCACTTAGCCCAAGTGAAATATCTTATATTCAATTATCAGGTGCATGATGATTCGCTTCTTTCTTCTCATTATGCAGTTGCTGATGGACAATGTTGGATTTCACTTTCTTCAACTTGTGAGCCATATATTAGTTAATATAAAATTCTTTCCTATCATTTATCGAATGAGTGGAAAAGGAGCTAGAAATAGAAAATATTTTTTAGCTTTAGTGCTTCATACTCACTTAGAAAAGCAATTTCAATATTTCTCGATTTTCTGCTTTTTATTTAGCTTCCTTGAGGTATTTGAATCTTTTTATTACTTTTTCATTAAGTATAATTATCTACTTAAGTAAACTGCACAATGCTGTTAACGTAAGGTAATGCTTAATATTTCATACACGTTTTTAACAAATCTGTATGAACATAATGTGTCTATCCCAAAGGGAAGATTTTGAATGTGATACCTGAAAAGATGGAATACAGAAGTTGCATTTCCACCTTTCATCAGTTGGCATTCGAGAAGGAACCCTTATTTATTTACAGTATCTTAACACATTAAAGGCGGGGGATCTTGACGAAAGTATGCTAGGGAACGCGGCGACCGCCCCACTTCGTTTTTCGTCCTAGAGCGAGCGATATTTTGTGTAATCATAAAAAAATTTAGACTTTAAAAAGTTTATTTAAACTCTTAAAACTATAAGAAATATTAAAAAAGAAGTAAACACTAATTACAAAAATGTTTTAAAGTACATATTTATGAGAAGAATCTAGCATTTTTTTATGAGTGTGATAATGTTGATAACACTCGCCATGGTGAATAGGTGCATTGCAAAATTCGCATTTAAAGCAAATCAACTTTCCTTTTTTATGTGCCGCACAAACTACGCAGTTTCGTTGGGCATATAGCTTTTTGTCTTTATTTTCTATCCGAATTAATTTGTGCTTTTTGATGTCTAGCGAAAGACGTCCAGGCGGAGATCAATTTTATATCGTGGAGTCCGTGGTGCCGAGTTCGATGTACCAGGTTGTGGCTCTTCGATGTCCATCAAATCGTCTGCATATATAGCTTTATTTTCACGTGAAACCATATTGAAGGATTTCAAAATTTACTGTAAGTAGAATTTGAACAACCGAACAGCTTCAAACCACAAAACATACTAAATACAAATGTAAAGTGGCGCATGGATTACGCAATGTGGTTGCAAACCGTTACTAATACGACTCCCGCCTTTAAGCTACAGTCGAGATAAATCGTAGTACTACGACTCCCGCCTTTAATGTATTAAGAGGATTTTTTTTAACCTTAGATAAGGAAATTATGCCACTCTAAAGTTCATTGCGGATATAAACCCTGAAAACAGCGAAGGTTTCAATGATATCCGTTTCATTGAAGGCCACTCCGTGACATATCCAAATGACAAGTCACTGTCCAAAATACATTAAATGGATGAACGGCGAAAATTTTGATATGTACAAGTATGATATTCTGGCATTGAAGAGTCTCTTACCAATCTGAGTTTTAAAAGCGGCGAAGGATAAGTTTAATAAACGTCGGTTTTCTACTGGTTAGTATGTGTTTATTTTGGCTCCTGGAAACATAAACATAATAAGCACACGAGCTTATTAACCATTGAGTTTAATACGCGGAGGGTACTGTATTTTCTAAATACTTAAAAAATAAAAAATCTATAATGTAATTCTATAAAAATATTTAATGCTTTTAATTAGATATATCGGGAATTAAACACATTTTATTTAAGTAAATCAGATTTTAAAAAGTAATATTATTAAGAACAGCATCGACTGCTTTTCAATAGCTGAGTGTGTTATAGCCGAATGTCAACGGACTCGAAACAAAAGGGAAATAATGGATTAACAGTAGAGAGCATTAAAAGGAATCAATGCAAAAGCATTCTTCCAGACTAATAGCCCTCTTGGACTAAAACTGGCATAGAAATGGCTACCGATTGTCTTAAGCCAATTCTATCTTCTAAAATTTTAAATCAGTTTTCAGTATATTCTTTTACAAACTATAGTCTTTTAATTGATCTGAAGAAAACTTTTACCCCCAAATTCTACCTTGAAATTTAAAAAAAAATCTCAAATATCTTCTTCTTGTCATTATGGCTGCAGGGTGATTATCTGTAGTATTAGGAACTTTGTTCAGATTTTCTCCAAGCAGTTCATTACTTTTCAGTGAGTTGCAAATTAATGAATGCGCCGAGGATCTGTAGTGTTCAATATTCTGGGATGCCAAGCCTGAAATATCGAAAATTAATTTTTTATGATACATAAATTTATATCACTACCTGCACACATTTTCAGCTTTTTTGAATCACTCATGTTCCCTGTCAGGAACATATTTCATATTTTCTAAATTCTGTAATCAAATTTAGAATTTCTGAACTTGTTTCTTTTCTCATGCTTAAACCATATTTTTTAAAATATTGGTAAAATTTTTATTAATCTTTAATGCGTACCTAATTCAAATGATGCAATACCTATAATTAAATTCTAATTCTATTTTTATGAATTCCTTGAGTGCATATATACTTATATATCGTTCAGTTTTACTTTTTGAAAGATGTATGACTCTTATTGTATTACGATTTTGGGGCTAATAAACATTTTATTGCTATCCTAGCAAGATACTTAACCTTTCATTCCCTCACGTTTTTGGAAAATCTAGATATATGGAACTTTCCAGGTAACGGAAGACTTTGTAAGGTTTCTCTGCCTCTTTACCGTGTGTTTTCAAGGTGGTGCAGTTGGAAAGCATGTCCGGTTAACAGTCGGAAGGTCCAAATTTCGTGTCTCGGAGAGGCACTACTCATCTTTCACGTTTCGAGCTTCGACAAACCTAATGACTCTAATCATTGTACAGATTAAATATTTTAAAACAGAAATAAGAAATATTCTTACTTTTGGTATACCATTTTTATCAGTAATTTTTTCCCAGGTAACTCCATCGTCACTGTAAGCTATGATGTAGGATGTTACCCATTCTGGAGAATCTTGACGACCTTTTGTTTTCACTCCTGAAATATTGGCTTTTTCCGGAAAATTAATCTGAAAGGTAAAAATATAAATTTTTGTAATAGTTGATGCATTCAGATCTCAATCGCGTTTTTCCATTACATGCATTAAACATAAGCCTTAAAAGCATAGTTACTAATTGTGAAAGGCAAAATGTGGCCGATTGCATAAAGGTGCATACAACCTCTAAAAGTTTTAAGACGGGGACTGAAAATATGTACAAAAGAGCTTTTATTTGTTAGATAAATAATTTTAAACTTTATGTCTGCGGACGATAATTTGTGGCGACCATCGTTATTTATTTATCGTAGAATAACTTTTCAAATGAAGAAAAATGAAGCTCAGATGAGGGCATTATCGCACTATCATTTTCTGTACAACTGCGGATAAACTAAGTAGAATGTCTTCGGCATCTACATACAGCACATGAAAATAAATACGTACTATATTATGTCGGTGTATTCGATAGCTTAAAAAATCTCGTATAGGTGGAACTTAGATGAAGAACATACATAAAATTCTTTCTTAGCTATTGTTGTAGAAAACGTTTAAGCCATACCATACTGTTAATTATAATCACTGCAGCCATGGAATAATACTGAAAAAATGTAACATTGGATCTGCAGTTAAACATGAAATAATTAACGAAGAATTGCATATGAAAAGATTAGTTTTCCGTAAGCCCCATAAATTAACAGAACACTCAAAACCGGAGCTTGTCAGAACCAGCAAAGAAATCCTAAAATTACCTAATGATGGTGGAAACCGCACTATTTGTAAAATAATAACTGATGATGAAATGAAACATACATACCGTTTTTTTTTATATTACGACACATCAAGAAAGTAAAAGATGAGTCTGAAAACTACCCCTAACAACAATGTTGAAAACACAATGAGCAGAGAATAAAGTAATGTATGCCGTTTTCTTCAGAAATACGGGACTGGTTAAAGCCATCAAATGAGAGGGCCAAGTTATAGCTAATTGGTACACTACTAAGTGTCTTTCAGAAATTCTTCAAGTGAATATTAAGGGACACATTCTTCATCATGATAATACATTTTCTCATTTAGTAAAACTGTAATCGAATTTCTTAAACAAGAAGACATCAAAATGATAAACATTCACCTGATATTGCTATGTGTAACCATTGGTTAACTTTTAATCCAACGTAAAATTTACTTGGCTGACGTTCTCATTCCGAAGAAGGGACTGATGAAGCTAAAAAACATATTTTTCAACGATTCCAAGAATTGGTAGTTTGAAGATATTAATTTTTGGAAAATTCGCCTGAAAAAATCCATTGAGTTTGGAGGAAACTACTGTAAATACCTAATACTTGGTAAATTTAATTTGTACTAATTAGCTGTACCTGAAATATTTCCCAAGTGACCCTCGAAAAGCGCATTAAAAGCATTGATTTAGAAGTTAATATAGCAATAACAATAAATAATATAAGCATAAGCATAATTTTGAAATTTTTTTATTAATCTTTGATTTGCAATTTCCAATCAGTATCAGATTTGTGTTTTAAAAGAGAACTAATTCAGAAAATCTTTCAACGCTCCGTTTAATAGAATAAGTATAAAAATCTATGTTTTAAATAGAAAAGTATTCAGACATTAGTTTAAAATAAGAATCTGCTAGGTAGCATGCTACATGATTACCGAAAAATTGTATAATTCTGGTAAGCTAAATATTTCATTCATGTATCAAAATATACAAGCAATTTTTCTGAATATTTTTAATTAGATGAACCACAATACTATAAAATAATGTAGAAAACTTGGTTTTCATGATTCATAGAATGCAAAATTAAAATGATACAGCTTAAATGGAGCCCCTGGTGAAAGGGTTTCCCAACGAGGTGAATGAAGCTACATATTTAGGTGAGGCTTAGGTTATTCGAATATGAGTTATCAAACCTTCAGTTAGCAAAAATCCTACTATCAATTATTATTTTTGTAATTAGTAAGAGGAATAACGGCGAAGACAAAGCATTTTAAATAAAAGTTTTGCTAAGTCGCTATTCGAACTTTACAAACCGTGTACTACCTTATCAGTCGCCGAGTGGATAAGAATACTGAATGATGGTACCTCGACTCGGATATGAACTTCGGCGAATGGGCTGGCTGAATAAGTGCTTTCGTTATTTACTTCATATGTGGATGAGTGAATATCGATTTCCATTGAAAAGTCCTACAGCAAGTCCTCCCTCTCTAGACAATAATAGTCCCTGAATATTTAATTAAATGAATTATTTTTATTATGTAATGAAATATTTTTTTGACGGTAAGCATAAAATGATAAGTTATGCATTGATGTCATTGAACAGTAGTTACGTTTGCTTTATTAGGCTAAGTTTATGATAAAATGTTATTTTTTCATAAACTTTGCCTAATTAACAGAGAAATATCATCCTTTTAATGCTTATGAATGAGTCCGTAAGAGGAAATGAGTCATTCCTTTTTCTTTCAGTCTTTAATTATTCATTCTCGAGGTTACATCCCATTCCTTTGAACGTGACTGTCGTATTTAATTTATTATTACGAGACTATAGAACAATAGAGAAGTATAGAACTTTAGAGAAAAACAATAGGTATAAACCACCACAAAAAAAAAAACATAACGAGAAATGTGAATAATACCTTGATGAGAAAAAAAAATTGAACAAGAAGAAAATAATTAGATAAATTAAAAAAATCGCCAAACATTACCTGAAAATATTGATCGGAATCTAAGTCAGCTGCCACCCACGCAGTGTCAGAGCCGAGTCTTCCATATTTCGCAGAATGGCCAGAGTCATATTCAGAAGAAGCTGTTAACCGGCTGTCGGGGAAGGATCTATCTTCCATACCAATGGGAGTTGTGCACCCTGAAATCGCAAACATTGCTATAAAAGTCAACACATAGGTTTTTCTTAAATTATTACTAATTATTCTACAATTATCACTAATCCTATAATGATCATTAATTTTATAATTATCAGTAATTCTACAATTATCGATAATCCTATAATGATCAATAATTAATTTTATAGTTATTTGAGAATTTTTAAATGAAAGAAGTGTTTATAGTATTGTTCAAGTCCTACTTGATAATGGAAAAAATTCCATCAGCTATACAGCAAGAAAGAATCCATTCACATTATATTACGTGCGATGCTGGTAATTAGAAATGTGATCTACAAAAATCATGGCACACATCACGTATGCAATGAGAGGTTAGATCCATAAGAACAGAATAACACGAATTTCCCCCTTTTGTGAATCTTCAACATACATAAAATATATATGTATAAGTTAACAAAAGTTAAATTTTAAAAATACTCGCATTCCAAAGGTAGTGTATATATTATTGAAAGCAAGTAAATTGATTTCAATTTCTTCTTCATTTGTAAATTTTAAGATGTGCTTCATTGATATTAATCTTGTTACTGTAAAAGCCAGTCATGCACCATATTTGCTAATAATCCTATACATTAAAACCTAGTTTTATGGAAGAGTACATAACTCACTAGTACTGAAACATTTATCAAATGTCAAACCATTTAGCAAATAAATTTTTGAAAAATCAAGAAATTTATATCTTGTATCTAGTATTAAATTACATGTATGTCTCGTTTTACAAAAGTGTGTTTTACATTATTTCGCTTTTACTAAAAACGACTTTGTTTTCGGCTATTAAAACGACTTTAGCGATTTTATTCGGTTTCCGAAAAATGCATTTTTATATAATTAATTGTTCATTCCCAGTGATTAAAGATGCTCTAATCTGCAAGAGAGATAGAGCTTTATAGTGTCAATAAGGTTTTTCATCGAAGAAAACCGAACCTTATGGTAAGTATAGTTTAAACTAAGATATTTTATAAAGTTGTATAAGAAGTACACAATTTCCAGTTGTTTATCAGTGAGTAATTCATGTTCCTTAACTTAAATGGTTTCCGAATATTCCGTAATATCATCACAGACTATTACGACAACCAGAACTGCGAAGTAAAGGCACGAAAGCCTTTATTTCCGGCCTAAAATACATACGCAAACCATTTAGAATAAATCATAAATGAGACATCATTGATCTAACTCTAGCTTTACATCCAGACTAGTTTCGACGAGTAGAAGAGCTTTCTGAAGAAGAGAAGAAATCTCTGTTGTTGATGCTTAGTGACTTATTCTGGTGTTCGGCAGGGGAATCTTTCCTGCTTTTCCCAGATTCTCAGTAAATGCACATAGGGCCTGACGTATGAAGAATCCGAAAGGTGAAGTTCTTCATATGAGACGGATCTAAAGGGAGGAAAAGATGAGGTATTTTGCCACTGTATAGGTTGTCTGGACTGGAAGGCGGTATCGCGAAGCTTCGAGTAGGGCACATCAAGAAATAATGCGAGGAAGATGTCATAATATCTGAAAATCAGAGCAGCTATTGATGAAAATGAAAGCATACTTTACTCTCATCTGGGCAAGTGGTGCCACCTGTTTAGGACTGAGGATAAGTCTTAATATACATAACCGTAGAAAAATTTGGAAAGAGAGTTCAGATGACTTTGCTCGACCATCCATCATCATAGAGTTGAAATTCAGTAACTTACGTAGCATTTTCTAAGATTTTCACTACACGTAGTGCATGTTGAAGTTTTTGCAAAGACTGATCACCTGCAGAACACAGTTTAACAACCTCTAGAAGTTTTCACAGGAATTTTGAAAGTCCAAATTCTTGGTTAATCTTGTAACTTCACTATTTCATTAAATCTCCTGGGCGCGTGCGTAGGGCAGCTGTCATCAGTAGCTGAAATTTTTTGGAGCCGGAGTATCGAGATCTTGTAATTCCTTATCAAATAAAGCTGCGAGGGATAATTCAGAAATTTCCTGTCTATTGCTGGTGTGGTATGGATATTTGTTGGAAATAATTCTAATTAATTCCCCCAAATGGTCAAACTTAGGCTTAATACAGGTAGGCTTAGCCTCTCTAGGAAGTTTCTAAGTGTAGGAAGCTCCAATCTACGCATTCGAAACCTTCAGTTTAAATTTTCGCAACGAATTTACATTTAGATGAGGAATACAGAAAGGAGATGTTATAGTAAATACTTAAATCATAATAATAATTACAATGAGGTACCTTACATATTCTTATGAAATAGTAATCAGACCGGTTGAAATCATATTGCTTTTATATGCTACCTTCATTTTTCTTCAAACTGACGTTCTAGAGATTAGACAACAATAGTAAAAAATCAAGAAATTTTTTCTGTCTCTACTTCATACTTTATTTTAGATATATTATACGTAAAGGTGTACATTACTAAAAGTTTATATTTTGGGGTAGTTAAATGTTTTATTTATAGAGATTACAAAGAAATTTAAATTTATGATTGCGTTGTCAAAAAATTCCAAATACATGATTATGCCTGACTATGTCGTAATTTGAATCATTACGACGTCCAAAGTCTTTCACAATCAGAAGTATTCATTCTAATTTTTGACCTTCAACAGATTTGAGACACTGTGAATGATTTATTCTGTTCTTTGATTCATACTATAGAGAAAGAAATACTTCCCATTACTTTTTTGGCTATTAATTTGTATTAATAATAAAATGTATTGTAATCAGCAAAGGTTTTTTGCATATGCACACTGTTTAATGTTTCTGCTGCGCATTTCGAAAAATACTTTTATATTATGCCTGCATTTAAAAAAATTAAATAGATAACTTAATTTGCATGTTTTTTGACCATTTCTTTTTTTTTTTCGTTTCCTTATTATGCATTTTGCATAAATTTTAAAGAAAATTTCGTTTAAGAACTGTATGATTTGTGGTATGGAACTTATATTTTACGTTAGTTGTGAAACAGTTATGCATGTATAGTTATAGCATACATACTTATGGATATAATAATGCTGTTTCTTATGAACACACGCATTAATAGTCAACTCTAATTAATTCTAATTCTTAAATTAAGAATTCAACTCTAACTAATTTCTAACTCTTCAACTAATAGAGTACAAATACTACTCTAATAGAGTATTTACATTATACAGTCTAAAGTAGTTTCGAAATGTAAGAAATAAGGAAAGTACAGAATTTGTAACATGAATATAAACGATAATATAAATAGTATATTAATATTTTAAGTAAAATATCATATACCTTCCAGTGGTTTAACAGGTTCAGAGACTGGAACAGTTGGTTCAGTAATTCCACGCACAGCTTTGAAAGAAATGATATACATATTAAAATAGTTTGGCGTAAAAGTATCTATGCATACATGAAAATTATAATAAATTATAATTATTTTTGTGAAATAACCAAGTAATCTGATTTATTATTCAAAAGGAATAAACAAAAGCCAAACCTAATTTTTATCATCGAATCGAGTTTGCTAAATCAATCTCTGAAATGTAATTAATGCCATGACGTAATCGAAAAGGTTACAAGTGCTTTGCACGACGTATGTTTGCTTGTGAACATCTGAAATTCAGTATTTGACTACGGTGATTAGGAAGCGAAAACAATTTTTTAATGGCTCCAAAGTATCCTCTAGGAAAAATATTTGAAATGAAGAACTAAACTGTGCTTAAACGCATAGACAGTTATGAAAGTAACAAGATGGCTGAATACTTAAAGAGGTGCAGTAATTGGTGCAGGTAACACAAAGTCTAGGTAACCAAAAAAGTTCTTGCCGTATTTGACATCCCATTTGTTGAAACTCTCATAGATTGGAAACGAAAGGACTCACGTGCCAAAAAGGCTATGGACATGCTCAATTGAAAATAGAGAGTTTGTCGAAAACTATTTCTTTTCTTGGGAAAAAGAAATGAATTATATGCCCTTTGAAAAAGTAAAGATTTTCTCTTTATGGGAATTAAAACAAAACTAAATTTTATCATTATGGGAAAAAAATTATCATTATGGAAAAAAACTGCAGTTATTAAATCTTTTTAATTTTAATGATAAATGTCAGAAAATTCAAAAATAAAAATCATACCTTCAGAGCATCCTAAAAGTTCAAGACGCAGAGATATTTTCTTTTCCCATGTCAGAGGCTCTAAACGAACATACTTAGCCTCAAACGGTCGACTGAAAATGTGCTTCACTTCATTCTGATCATCAAAATTAGCACTGAATACCTAAAAACAGTAATTTATTTTTAAACATCTTGTTAATATAATTTAGTTTAAAACAACACGCCGAATAATCAAAAATGTTTTTCCCTTAAGGTATTTCACGGAAAATATGTATACTGTTTTCACGCGCGGAAAAAATATATATCTTATTGCTACGAAGTGAATTGATAATAATGATAGCATCTCGAATGTTTTCACACTGTTTCAATAAAATTTATAAATCTAAAAGAACATGTATGGTAATAGAAGTTCTAAAAAACAGGTACGGTAATTAAAGTTCCAATTTATAAAACAGTTTTACATTTAAGCATTTTTTAATTTTAAGCTTAATTGTCAGAAAAGAAGTAGGATCTGAACATTTATAATCCATTATATGATCATTTTTACCTTCACTGTCATTTCTACTTTCATCAGCTCCCACTAAGATGCAGATTAGTTAACATACAGGTACAGGTAAAAGCATGGGGAAAATCGGCGATGTATCATGGGTCAACTTGTAATGCCTTCCCATACTAATTACAGCTTTAAAAAAGATAAGAAAGGAAAAACTGCAAGCTTTATAAGAATTTACAAAGAAAGGTTGAGGAAATAAGCAGCTGAGAGATTGGAGGGAGTTTTGTCGGCGACAGCTGATCGCCTCCGACCTATTTTCTATTTTAGTAAAACGATTTTAGTAAACCTTTGAAAGCCATCTTTAGCCGCCGGATTCGGAAGCATTGAGCCAAAATTTGCAATAGGACTTTATCCTGTGAATTATTATTTTAACTTTTATGATCTGTTATTCATCAAGAAAGAGCGACTTGTTTTGTAATCGAGCAATCTAGAATCCGGCGGTCAAAGATGGCTATCAAACGCTAAAGCTGATTTAGTTTAATCGAAAATAGCTCGGAGACGATCAGCTGTCGCCGATGAAACTCTGTCTAATCTTAAAAAAATTCTAGCTTCAGTTGTTCATTTCCTCAACCTTTCTTGTTAAACTGATGCTCTAATAAAAAAGGTCTATTTTAAACCTTCTTTTGAATTCGGTGTTATTTCACTGGAAGACAAAGATGGGGAGATATGTCTCCAGACTGTCCACATGGTTCTAGGATTTAGCATTGAAGTACTTAAGGTTTTATATAAAATTTGAATAAATGTTCAGCTATTGTTTTTATTTAGTATTGTGTTTTATCTTTTCTTTTTTCCTCTTAGATTAAACGATTTTTGTTATTTTGTTTTGATTGGGTTTTGAACTTGAACGTAAAATACTGTTGTGACATTTTAAAAAGTAGTCATCTGTGGTTCAGTGACGGATTAATCCATTTACATTAATACTTAGTGGAAAAAATTTCGATTTAAAAACATTTCGTTTGAAGAATGATTTTTAGGAACAAATTATGCTCCTGAATAGAGGTTGTGACGATTTAGTTTCAGTTTAACTAACAAGTTATTTCAATTCATTTGCATCTTTACTGTCCTTTCATACTTCAGTGTCACGCAACTCTTTCTTTCCAAAAAATTATGTAGATTTTAAGTGGTAGTATGTTCATAAAACTCACTTATCCGAAACTGTGCTGAAAATTTTGAATTAGCGGGTTTGGCGAAAGGTTGATATTTGCCTGTACTGAAGAGTACAGACAGAGTCCAATGGAATAGCTTTCCAAAAAGTAAGCTGTGACTGAAGTCTAAGCACATTGTTATGTTACGTAATGCGTTACGTTCAAACGATGGCTAGCTCAGAAGGGATTCATAAGTCATCTACCCGATGAATTAACAGCTATCTTATCATAAATGGAGCACTTCAAATCATTTAAACTTAAGCAAAAAGGTTTATTTACACATAAGTACAAGTTAAATGAATAAGAAATATTTATCTAGCTACAATATCTATCTAACTACATCATGCAAACATCGTCCTTAGCTATCTAAATCGCAATTGTTCGTTTTCCTCTGGCGTCCCATGACGTCAGTTTCTTCCTCATGTCCCATGACGTCAGTTTTGATTCGCTGGCGTAGTGATGCCATTCGCAACACACATGATAATCCGCTACGAAATGATGCTTTTTTGTTAATTTAAATTGAATTGTGAACTTACGAAGCATAAATTTAGTTTCAAGTCAAATGAACCGTTACCTTGTAATATTTTTAAGCGAATCCCTGAAGTGGAGGCCTGTTAAAGCTAATTTGCTTTTATGCAGTCTTCCTTTTTTTAATGAATGTCACTTTGTAAGGATCTTAAGTTTTACTAACGTTTATTTTTATTTTGAATCTTTACTATCACTTCTCATTTTCTATTTCCGGCCAGAATTATAAGCGTTAAGGTTTTTATGCAAAAGTTGTCTGGCGAACGCCAAGTATTTAAGTTGTGGCCTTTTGCCAAGCGAGAGAGAGGAAGCAGTGAGTTCGAAGCAGGCCGCTTACCTTAGAAGTTACGCAGTTGCTTGTTGCCTTCCAGGCCAGAGGTGTTAATCCTCTTGATAACTTTTAAAAGTATTGTAGTGTTTTCAGTTATCTGTACTACATACGCCTTCCTGTTAATATAAGGCCAATCTTCCACGTTTATTATTCTAAAAGTTAAATTAGAGTTTAGTTTTATTTTTAACTTTTACGTTACTCCGAGTAGCGGGTCGGTGTATTCCGAAGTACGGAAGTTATTGTATATAGAGAAAAATAAAGGGTTTTGTATACCCTTCGTCTGTATCCTGTCTACTTACCACAATTAGTGAACATAGCTTTAGTAAGCTCTCTGTTCCGATCAGGTCCTTGTATGTTCCCGAAGAAGGTAAAGAAAACATTGACCCTGATAGTGGCGCCCAACGAAGAAGAATAACCATGGCCGAGTTTCAAGAAGAACCTGTGCTGCCTGCAGAAACGGCTCAGAATCCAGAAATGCCAGCTGCCGCCCTGGAAGGATTTGGTTACATCGTCCAGACCATGCGCGCTTCGATGAAACCAGAAGCAACATTTAAGGGAAACTCACCGGTAACCAGTTTTTGGAAAAATTGGAGGACCACTTCATGCTCTACCCCGTGCACGAGTTTCAAAAAGTTACCTTAGCTACCAGCGCTTTGAGGGGCAAAGCGCTTAACTGGTTCAAATGTATAGGCAGAAGTCTCTTGGGTCAAGCAGGAAGTCCCACCTATACTTACGAAAATTTCAAGACTGCCCTACTAAAAGCCTTCCCTGTTGTAAGGGATCGTGCGAAAGTAGAAACGGAACTTTTCAGTATATATCAACAAAAATCGAAAACCTCTCGAGCTTTATTTTAAGAAAAATTCACGTTTTCAAGCTCTTGTATGGAAACCGTCCGGATCCTGAAATAATTCAAGTGATTTTGCTGAGGTTACTACCCCAAGTGCAAGACTTTATTGAATTAAGAAATCCGACTACACTGGAAAAGTTATTTGAGCTAGCAATCCAGTTTGAAAGTAGAAGAACGGCAGACGTCGAAAGAAGACGCCAGTATCAACAGCGAAACCAATTTGGTACGCGAAGACTACAGCAAACTCAAGCACATGGATACGGAGAAAAAGCGAATCAGTGGGCAAGGAAACCCGAGCATTCAAAAACAGCCGGCGAACGTCGACAGTTCAATAGCAACCCAGGAAAAAAGTCTCAAGGCCAGTGGAAAAAGAAGGAAAGCACGGAAAGGAAAAATAATTTAAACTAAAACGGATTTCTGCTGACGAGAGGGTGCGGAAATCCGAAGGCCACGAAAACCCCTCTTCCTACAAGTTAAAATACAGTAATGGTGAAAAATTTGACTCTTCCGGAAGATTGAAGTCTTGGTGAATAATATCCCAGCCACCGCACTCCTGGATACCGGCGCGCAGTGTTCCTGTGTGGCAGAAGAGTTTTTTAGGAAGTATTTTCGCAAATACCGCATATATAATGCGGATAATACGACAGTGTTAGCGACGCAAGGAGAAAAATGTAAGTGCGTAGGTAAAGTACCTTTGTATATCCGTATCAAGGATGAACAAGTAAAGGTGATGTTTTTTATAGTAAAGAATCTGCAAGCACATTTAATTTTAGGAATAGATTTTCTTTCAGAAGCACAAGCTACGCTGGATTTTAATGAAGCGTCCCTTAAGCTGACAATGAAACCAGTTCGTACAGAAAACGCTGAACCGCCGATGTTAAAACTTGACCACCTCCCTAATGACGAGCAAGGAAGAATCCGACAAGTGGTAAGTGAATTTCCTTCGTTATTTAGTGATATTCCAGGATTTACTATGGTTACTAACCATAGTATTGAAACCGGAGATGCAATGCAGTTCGTCAAAAACCATACCGGTATGATAAGAATAAGGAAAAAAATTATAGAATGGCATATTACCGATATGCTACGTAAAAAGATCATAACGCCCATCTCAAGTAGTTATGCTAGCCCTGTGGTTTTATGTAAGAAAAATAATGACTATCCTTTGACGCATCCAAAAAAGATGGAGATTCGCTATTGATTACCGTAAATTAAACTCCATAACTAAATATCCGGTATATCCGTTACCGATTACAGAAGAAATTCTAAGCAACATAAATTCAACCAAATTTATGACGACTTTAGACTTAACGACTGGTTATTTTCAAATAGGTGTGAGGCCTGAGGACGTGCCTAAGACTGCTTTTATAACCAAGTCTGGCACTTATGCATTTTTGCGTATGCCGTCTGGCCTTTCAGGGGCCCCGGCAACATTTCAGCGATGCATGGACATTGTGTTAAGACCTGTTCTTGGAAAGTCCACATTTATCTATTTAGACGATATCATTATTACTAGTGATAATCTCGACCAACATGTACAGGATTTAAGACAGGTGTTTTCTTTATTAAATGAGGCCGGTCTAAAAGTTAATGTCGAAAAGTGCAAATTTGCAGCCCCTGAATTAAAATATTTAGGTTACAAAATATCTCAAAAAGGGATCGAGACAGATGAATCAAAAATAATCGCTGTACAAAAGTATCCGACTCCAAACACGGCAAAGAAGCTCTCTTCTTTTCTAGGACTTGTTGTTCATATTATAGG